GCACAAATTGTTGTGCACCGGGCCTCCAGTCCTATATAATAAAAGCCTAATATGCTAAGTGTCTGGTCGTCCGGTCGGCTGTTCAACCAATCAAAGCATAATATGCTAATGATATGCTAAGGCAACTCAACCACTCTCTATGACATGCACTGACCACCAGGGTGCAGACACTTCAATTGGTAGGTTAGCTTTTTGCTAGGTCCCGGCCAATCAGGATGGGCTCTACACGCCCTGGAGCCCTCCCACATCCCTCCCTGGCCCCGATTGTGTACCAGTGGGGGTCCTTCGGCCTGGCCTGTGCCCTCTCGCAATCTGGGATCCCGTGGGGGTTGTCGGGGAGCCGGTTTCGGCCCAATCCTGCATGCCAGGCCACGGAACCCCACTGGTGCATGGATTCGTGCACTGGGCTTCTAGTTAGAAATAAAAACTATTTCTGATGATTTATTGCAACAGAAAAGAAAAATTAACACTAAATTTTATTACTAGTTTTTTAACAGCTTTTCAGAAATAAGTTACATGTTAATGTCAGATAAAATTTACCATTCACATGAATAAAGTGAATTGAGTCTAGAAAAAAAACCAGTTACTCAAATACAGAGGCACTCAGAAATAACATTAACAGATAATGGCAAATGCTCTTATTCAGTCATATAATCTTCTGCTTGAAAATAGGCATTAATTCTTATTGGTAGTATTTGGAAGTGAATTTTAGTTCTTTTCCTTCTGTGGTATATGGTAGCTATGTTTAAAACCTCCAACCAGGCAGTATATTTTCTACTGACCTCTTTTTAACCTGAGGAAAACTCTTGAGCCTTTGTTTCCAAATAGCTGCTCCTTAATATTTGATACTTTGAGATACTTTAGCTCAAACTGTATTATCACTTTGCCAAAATCTGAGCAAAGAGTTGATCTGTATGTACTAATCTAATTGTGGCATCTGATATTATAATGAAGCATTAGTCCTTTTAGTTGATCTCTTGTAAAAACCCTGCTTTTTCTTCCAGTTCAACTCTTAAAAATGAACATTAATCAAATGCCTCTTAGGACTTCCACATACCTTAGTTTCTTTTTATTTTGTAGTACTTCTTAGACTGCTTGATTAAAATGGAGTTCCAAATACTAGCACTGTTTCTAAGAGGTGCACTGACAATTTTCATTAGTTTATTTATTCCTGCTGGATTTGTAGGAATATTTTGTTTATTTTTATTGATTTCAGAGAGGAAGGGAGAGAGAGAGAAAGAGAAACATCAATGATGAGAGAGAATCATTGATTGGCTGCCTCCTGCACGCCCCCCACTGGGGATCGAGCTCGCAACCCTGGCATGTGCCCTGACGAGGAATCGAACCATGACCTCCTGGTTCATAGGTTGATGCTCAACCACTGAGCCACGCCGGCCAGGCTATAGGAATATTTTTAACTGGATTTTCTTCAGAAACTGAACTTCAATTTTGGGAGAAGAGGACAGAATCGTATTGATGTAGTTCCTGCCTTCATTCAGCTCGGTTTATTGGATGATTTAGACAAGAAAATAAGCAATATAGTATTAAATATGATTGGGATAGCATAAAATGCATTTATAAGTATTTAATGCCTGTTATGTTCCAGACAGTGCTCTGGAGATGCTAGGAAATTCTTTTTCCCCAAAATAGAGTATTTGGAATCCTCTCTCCTCTGGATTTCTATAGCAATAGTACATTATCCCTGTATTCTCTCTTACTAGAAGCCATTCTACATGAGCAACTGCTTAAAACCCTTTTTTTGCTTCTTTACCATGGTATAGATCAGTGATGGCGAACCTTTTGAGCTCAGCGTGTCAGCATTTTGAAAAACCCTAACTTAATTCTGGTGCTGTGTCACATATAGAAATTTTTTGATCTTTGCAACCATAGTAAAACAAAGATTTATATTTTTGATATTTATTTTATATATTTAAATGCCATTTAACAAAGAAAAATCAACCAAAAAAATTAGTTCGCGTGTCACAGGTTTGCCATCATGGGTATAGATGGTCTTTATGATCTGGCCCCTGGCTATTGCTCTGACAGCTCAAACTGTTCTTTATGCTTACTATGTTCCAGCTGCATCTTACTTTTTTCTGGTCCTCTAATACAGATTATGCCCATTTTAGGTCTTTCTGCTTGCTGGCTCTTCTTCTTAGAAACCTCCTCCAGATCTTTTTATCTTAGTTCCTTCCCATTTAGATTCCAGCACAAAGCTCACCTCCTTGTAGAGGTATTCTCTAATAACTCAACCTAAAGTAACCTCCCAGCCACATCACAACACATTGTCCTGCTTTATTTTTTTATAGTAAGCTATTTCTACTTAAAGTTACTGTGTTTATTGTTTGTTTGTTTGTTGTCTGCTTTCTCCCCATTGAATGTAAGATTGATGAAATCCAGAACCCAACTTTCTCATTTATAGCAATCCATATTTATTATAAGAATAAATAAATAGAATATTCAAAAAACTGAAAGATACATAGTATGGTTAGTGCAAAGGAGACTGGAAATAATAAGGCAGTGTGAAGCCAAATGATTAAAAGTAGGAGGTAACGGAGAAAACTAAGTTGGCGGCATAGGTAAACACCGGAGATTGCTGCTTAGCACAACCACTTCAAGAATACAACTAAAAGACGGAACGGACATCATCCAGAACCACAGGAAGGCTGGCTGAGTGGAAATTCTACAACTAGAAGGAAAGAGAAAAACATACTGAGACTTAGAGGAGCTGCGGTGTGGAAGTAAAGTACAGAGGTACGGAGGCGCACAAGGAGAGGGCTGGCGGCTGAGGACACGGTTGTCTTTTTCAATTGGTAGGGAGTCTCAAGCTTGAGCTCCAGTTCCGGGCGAGTCTCTGGGGACCCAGACTCATACGGGAGAAACTGGACTGTCTGGCATCGGTCAGAACTTGAGGACAGCTTTCTCTTGGAGGTGTTTGCAGCGATTGCCGGGACACGGAGAAGCGGGGCCTCTGAGGGCAGCCATAGCTGCTTGCCCTGCCGTGTTGATCCCCTGGGACTCCCGTCCCTCCCAAGCTGTACGCCGGCTTTTGCATATGAAAGGCCTGGCCCTTTGCA